GAGCCTCAGGGACATCAATTTTAATTAATGTAATCAGGAAAATAGGCAGTCAAATCGTTTCTCTGTCAATGGTGAATTGTCCCTCGCTGGAAACAGCCGTTTTCTTACTTCTGCTTTCTGGCCTTTTATTGAGTCCCTTTGTCAACTAGCCAATTAACTCAGTCTTGGGTCATTACAGGTAGCTCTATCGATCTTTATGGTAGTCGCCAGTCTCGTACTCTAGTTATAGCTTTGAGCTGCTCTGCATAGAGTTTGGTATGCAGGTGGGAAATCTGTGCGCCTATCTTACAATGCTCGGCCCGATTTTCACGCTTCGCTCGTCTCACGTGCGGTTATGCCGACGACTCGGCCGACTACCTCAACGTCATCGTAACGGTTTTTTAAGTAACCTGTTTCTTTGCGATCGCAAAATTTAGTCTATGATTTCTATCTATCTTGGCCCATAGAGTTACAAGAACAATCAATGCAAGGAGTGCAGTAGATGATGCGGTTTACAATATGGCTCGTATCTACGGCCAAAGTTTATGAATCCCGTATAATCTCCTCTTAATAGCGTATAGAAATGTATGATTTCTGTATACGGAAAGTATACGGGTTGTAGTCCGTGAACCCCGAATCAAGCGTAACGGCAGTTCAAATTCAAAATTATTCGGAAATTGGAAAAGTTATTTAAAGCCCAACTATACTCCTCCTTCTACTGTAAAATTCAAAGGAGACGTAATTTTCTTCCATTTAGGTAAAAGAAGGAATATTTTTCTGTACGTTCTCTACGAAATATAGTCTGACATATACGGACATTAAAAATCAATGAGGGAAGTTCATAATGCCTAAGTGACCACCCTTTACCGAGTGTAACTTTGCAAACGGCGGGAAAAATATTAATTTAAACGCCGGCATCCTTAAGTAACTGAAATTTCCTGGGATTATCCAGTAAGGTGATTTATACTATAACCCTACTTAAGTAGTATTTTAAAAATCGAAAACGCATTTCATAATTTCGTTTAACATTTCATGAATTAGCACATCTGCTGTATGTTTGAAAAATGACCTTGAAGTAGACAAGTAATTTGCTTGTGAAAGTGTTTAAGCCTCCATTTCCCCTATATTTCGCCAGTGATGATTGCGATACCCGAAGGTTTGTGGGAGGTCTCTCTTTCGCGAGATACGGAGGTTACGCATAGAGTGCTGCAACTACATTTCCACTGGGGACGAGAGAGTGACTTTGGTTCTGAGCACTCCTTGGACGGAAAATTCTTTCCTCTCGAGGTAAGATCATTTTTTGTACTCGGCTTTTGAAAGCAAGACCTGGATGGATTGAGGATGCGAGACTGGGCATTTAAACACTGTTTACTGGCAGAGTGTGTGCTACTGGAGAGCAGTAATGATTAATAGATCACTTGCAGCATTTGGCAGTATTAGGTCAACTTTTTGTTATATAAACTGCAATTATGCCTCCATAATAACGTGTTTTGGTTTTTTATACACACGTATTCAGATCCAGAAGCCTTAAGAATGGTCAAGAATTTGTGCAAATATGAGACCCGAATTTTTTTTCATTCCCTGGACTTGTTCAAGTAGCCTCCTACATAATATGCCCACTCGGCTACGCTGGCTTTAGTTTTTTGGCCTATCAAATATTCACGTCAGGATCGTAGGGCATGCTTAAGATAGGGTTTTTTTTCGAAGATCTTAAAAGTAAAACAAAAGTAAGTTTTGGATGGTTTAAATTTCCCGACCAAAGACTTGCGAACAAAAACTTCCAAACAACAAGTAGATGCAATCTGTGTGGAAAAGGGGAAATGTAAAAACGCTTGAGATGAAAAAGTGCTTAATCATCTGCGAGATTGCACGTTCACCTCTTGTATGTTACTTCTGTCAGCGGCTGCGCCAACATGACAAGTATTTTAATTGCATGCAGTGAGCCTACTGATACTTAATAGGTAGCCAGGTCTAAGTCTGAAGGAGAGAAACGGTTTCACCAAGATTGATATCTCGCACGGTATTTGCAGAGACCAAGCTAAGCCCAGAATTGCAGATGATTTAGAGAAACGGCTAATGGAAATGACAAAAAATGGAGGCAACTTGATGAACTGATGCGCTGCCTCAACTGCTTGAAATCCTCCATCCAGCGGTCGGTGGCAACGAAATGGAACTAAACATGGCTGTAGCCTAATCTTCCCCAAACGAATCGTAGGGTGTTCTCAGAATCACTTTCCGTGATAAAAGATTGTCCGACGCATGTATCCAATTCCAAAGGAGCTTGCTCGGTTAAATCAAGGATCATAGTCAGAATCGGTTAAGAACATTTCAACTGATGTGCTTTAAGCCGCGTAGGGATGAAAATAGAGGGAGCGTCCTTTTTGATAAGTTTCCACAAAACACGCTTTTCTGGTAGAGTTTTGACGCAAACTCGAAGAGTCTGATGTCGATCTGAGGCCTAGCACACAGGCGTCTGAGCCGCCTACTTTTAAAGTCGGACAGACAAGGCATCCTCTGACAGCCATGATTCGGTCTTGCAGTCATAGGGTCTGTTGCTTAAACACCCTCACTTTGACTGCATGCTATTACTACGGTTTAGTCATCAAGGGCACTTTATATTCATCAATTTAAATTGATCTCCCGTTGCTGGGCACAGGTCTAGGCATTAAAGCCTTTCAGTTTAAGTTTACTATCCTATTAGCCATGTAGAATAATAAATGATTAATTGATTGCGTCGGTAAATCTACCAGAGAACTTCTCAGAACGTTTTAAAGACGCATCGTCCACTTCCTAAACAATACAGCTCCTAGGGTCTCTACTATACTTTGACGTAAAGTCATTCCGGACTAGATACCGAGTCAACGTCTTTACCTTATAGATGCATATTGTTACATATTCGATCGCCTATCCGGACTTCGACAGCGCACTGGATTCTACAGACGGTCTCGCAGTTATTGGTATTCTTTTTGAGCTGACAAGAGATCAATCGCTGTCTCGTCTTTGGAGGTATGGCAACTTTCTGGATCAGATTTGGGATCTACACGGGCCAGAATCAGTGACAGAAATTGACTATTTCGAGCCTGAACTTCTTCTCCCAGAGGATACAAAGAGTTTCTTCCGTTATGACGGTTCGTTAACAACCCCACCCTGCACGGAGAACGTAAAGTGGACGGTATTGAGGAGTCGGAACCTAGTCACGGAGGAGGAAGTAAGTATTTGCTGCTCACGAATATCGCTTTTAATGAGTTCACATAGGTAAGCAGGAAAATAACCATTAGTTTTCTTAAAAAAAACATGTACTTCGAAATCACTATCTCAAATCACACATGAACCATGGGACATGACTTATATGCATCTGATCAAAATACCGGAACACCGAACTACCTACTGCCTACTGAGCGTTGAGTCACCAGCCAACCTTAAGGCCCTTGAATGTAGGGTTAAGTCTCTGGAAGGAGATGCAAAACACTCAAGCTATACAGATAGGCAATGGAACAGGCCTCGTCAGAAAATTAGTAATTTACTATGAGACAGCAGTAACACCGATAGTTACCAAATAAAGCAACCAAAAACGTCTTTTGGAACACCGAACGCTAAAATAACGCAACACAACGAGCGCCTCCTCGCTTATTCCAAGCAATCGGTTTTCAATAAAGTCGAAATACATAGACAAAGGAGTCTCTAGATCGCTGGTACCAAATGCGAAAAAGCAACATGTGCTCACACACTAAAAAAACTTAGGTGAAGCCAGTGCGAAGAGATACCGCAGTGGATGTGCTATCTTATGAAATATTAACAGAAATTCTGAAATGCGTTTCCGCCTCGAAAAGATAGTGCAATCAAAATATTAATTACTATGCTGCATTATCTTGAGATATTTCGGTCACGTAGGATGCCGGCTTTGAACGAGCTCCTTTTCGGCCCTCCGTAAAAACTAAACTCTGTAGAAAATAGCTATTTAAGTACTGTGAGTTTTCCTCAATGATTTTCAAGCTTTTATAGATTCCAATACATTTGCTCTCACATTCTTTTAGTAGAAAATTACGTCTTTTTTAAATTTTTTACTTGAAGAAGGAGTGCCTTTCAGTCTAAAAACAGTTTCTAATTATGAGATTTTTTAAGACTGTAAAATTTCCATTCATAAAAATCGCACCTTTACATGTATAAATACTGCTTGCAAAGTACACACTGTAATTCACCTTCACTGCCAGCTTTCATGAAACGCATATGGTACTGATGCCTAAAAGGAAAGTGCAACGGCAGGTCGGGTTCAAAATTATTCAGAAATTGAAAAAAACTTTCGCAAACTAATTTATCCTCGTCCCTTAGGTATAAAACTTAAAGAAGACATAATCTGCCACCACGTGAGTAAGAGAACGAATATTTTTCTCGTGTTTTCTAGAAAATATATTGGAATTTATAAAAATGTCGAAAGTCAATGAGAAAAACTCTTATTATTTATCATATCCACCTCCGTCGACGTTTTTGAGCGCAAGTTGGACCAGTGTACCACCAAACGTCATAATGCCACCTGACCGACAACGTCTAGCATTCCGTCCGAACAGTTTATTAATATTGTTATATTACTACCTATATTTCAGTAATGTATGTTTTTTATTATTGCCCTAGGTCCGTCGAATGTATGTTCAGTTCAGTTCAGTTCAGTTTACTGAGGGAAATGTAGGTCTTCACCTTTGAACTCCCTATTTGTTTACAAACAACTGCAGCATCTCAAAAACTCGAAAAGGTATCATAAAGGAACAAGTAATCGGAAAAGCGTCAGGTCTGTACAGACAAACAAACGGTCTCGAATTTTAGTGGTACGAGCAGTTGTAGAGCTGTCGTTTCGAGTGCAGCGAAATAAATAATATATCCGGTGACAAAATTTGCATATGTGCATGTCAGTAAGCGTAGGCGATGGGTTGGCACAATAATACATTCAATTTAAAATGTTACTGAAATATAGAAAGTAGTATTACAATAACGGAATTTGTCGAGGTTACAGAGATCGGGGTGGTAATTTAGTGGACACTGCTACACAAATCCAGCTTCCTCTTAAAGACCTCGACGGAAGCAGACATAACGACATCCACAGGCAGGGCATTCCAGGCTTCTAGCACTCTGTTGGAGAAGAAGAACTTTCGTGTGTCCAGTCTGGCCCCTGTCACACGTAGTTTGAATGGATGGCCTCGTAGATTTGTGGTGGTTGCTAACTCGAAGAAGTCCCCCGGTACGAGGCTGCAGTCCTGACCGCGTATGATACGGAGGGCTTGTATCAGGTCACCCCGTAACTGCCTGTAACTCAAGGGAAAGAGATCAAGGTTAGCTAACCGCGTTGCATATGGTAGTGAACCCTGTCCTGCCACAAGTTTCGTTGCACGCCTTTGAACCCTTTCAAGGATGCTGAGGTCCTTCGCGGTCCAGGATCTCCAAGCTTGGATAGCAAATTCTAGTTGCGGACGCACAAAAGTTCGAAAGACTTTAGCGAAGCAGTCTTCATCAAAGGCAGAGAAAGCCCGCTTGACAAGGTAGAGGACTGACATTGCAGACTTGGCTATCTTTGTGCAGTGCAGCGAGGGTTTGAGCGAGGTCGTAATCCATACTCCCAAGTCCTTCTGCGAGTCCACTTCTTGCAGTGGTATACCATTTAGGCAGTAGGCCATATGGTTCGGAGAGCGAGCTCTGCCGACTCGTAGAATATTGCACTTTTTCTCGTTGAACGGCAGAAGCCAGGCCTTTGACCACTGTTGGAGTCGGTTTAGGTTCGCCTGCAGATGCTCTTCGTCATCTGCAGTTCGAATGACGCTCCAGAGCTTAATTTCATCCGCAAACATGACGACACCACAATCCAGTTCACTCACGCAATCGTTGACGTAAATGATGAACAAAGTAGGACCAAGAACTGAGCCTTGGGGAACACCGCTTTCAACGGCAACCTCCGTCGACTTCTTGCCACCGACATGGACAGTTTGAAAACGGTCTAATAGGAAGCTTTGAATCCATTTTAAGAGGTTACCCCTGACGCCTGTTCGGCTCAGTTTGTGCAGGAGTCGCTGATGTGGGACACTATCAAATGCCTTTTTAAAGTCGATATAGACTACGTGCAGCGCATTGCCTTCATCAACTGACCGAGTCCAACGTTCCAAACAGTTGAGCAAGTTAGTCACGCAAGACCTGCCACTACGAAACCCATGTTGCGCATCAGATAATAGATTATGCTGCTCTAGGAAGCACATCAGCTCTCGCATCTAATTCGTCTCCCTCAGAAACTGAGATAGCACCAACTATCCATAGACAGACTACTGTACAGCACACTTAGTAACGTTAATGTTTTTAACTCTTGGAACAATTCGTTTATCTGTCTAGCTTCGAAAACTTTGCCAATCTGAAGTAACTCTGTAGCTGTTTGATATTTCCATTTTCAAATTTTTGATATAGTTCGCCTCCTTGTAACAAATAGGGAGTTCAAAGGTTCAATGCCTATATTTCCCTCAAATAAACTGAACTGAACCGAGCCACCTTTATAGAAAGTTCAGATTTTGCGGACGGGCAGAAAGAAGCCCGTTCGAAAGCCAACATCCTGACTTGACTAAAGTATCCTGGGATTACACGGCAGGTAACAAATGTTACAACCTTACTTAAGTTGCCTTTTCGAATCGGAAATGCATATCAGAATTCCGGTTAACAGTTCATGGGATAGCACGCCAACCTATCATGTGTGTGATGCATCCGATATGACCAGGGCAGCTCAGCCACGTAAATTCGGTCCTCTTTCGTCACTCCCTTTCACGATTTCAGCTGCTCCCTTTGACGTCGTCGCAAGCCAGGACCGAAGGAGTCCACATTCAGATCAACACAACATTCGCCGAGCTAGCTTACGGGAGGTTCTATTCATGACTCTTCGGAAACTCGAGAGGCGTCTGTTCGATGAGTATGAACCCAATTTTTGGGTGCGATACGTCGATAACACCTTTGTAATCATCGACCAGAAGTAAATAAACTAGTAAGGGGAACAACTGGACTCGATATTTCCAGACGTACAGTTCACGATGGAAGAAGAAGAAGTGAAGAGAACACTTCCATTTTTGGATGTTCTCGTTTGCCGCCAACCGAATGGCGAACTGGTAAAGTCCATCTACAGAAAAGCGACGAACACGCTGCAAATGCTTAGTTTCAACAGCAACCACTCACTGAAACACAAGCAAAGCCGTGGAAACTCATTTCTGTACGGCAGCCGCCAAACTAAGGGAGATGAGGCGCCTTCATGAACTCTTCAGAGTCAACGTTTATCCGAGAGCATCCGTCGGACGGAGCCGAATGCAACAAAGAAGGCGGAATTAAGACCATAGAAATCCAAAATCATGGCGGGGCATTTCGTACACGAAGGGAGTCTCCGAAGCCGTGGCTAAGTCCCTCGCACCACTTGGAATAGGAGTAACTCACAGACCTGATTCAACAATCCGCCGGCAATTGCTGAGGCCACTGAACCCTATCCTTAAACAGGTGATGTTGGCCCTTGTCTATCAACTTCAATGCAGCTCCAATATGTGCAATTACGTTGGAAAACCGGTCGACCGTTATGAACGCGAATGCACGAGCATCAGTTGTCCGTGCTAAGGTTGGGCCCAAAGTCGGAGGTAGCAGCTCAGGCCACGCAAATACGACACATCTTTAACTTCGATGCCGTCGAGCTCGGAAGTCGCGGGGGTGATCATTCGGCAAGGCAGGTGCAAGAAGCCTGAATGTCTACCGAATGTTCTGTCAACCGCCACATCAATTTGCCTCCCCCATATCTGGTTCTACGGATATTCTTGACGGGGGGCAGTCACGGCGCTGGACAATCGGGGCCGTCAACCATCGCCGCGGCCGACGAAGATGGACGGGATTCAGATCATGGTGACATGCAGATCGGATGCAGCCACACAGGCGGCGTTGGCGGGTCACGCATTGAACAAGGTGCACCATATAAGGGGAGCTGTGCGCATGACTTTCTAGTCTCTTAAGTGGGGTAGACGAAATAACTCCTCGAAACGTCAGACCTCCCGGTAAACCCCTCCCCGTGAACGTCTCTCCCTTTGAATTATCGTGCACTGAAGCGCCGACGACATCAGTCGCATACTTTTGAGCGACGCACATCTTCTGGGCTCAGAGACATTTCTTATCTATAAAGGATTCACCTAACTGGAGCATCGTACATTTGCAACAGGTTACATTAACTGCTTTCGCGTCGATTACTGTGGCTTAAGTAGAGCCAAACAAAAATCCCACGCTCTGATTGATTCAAAGATTGATCCTAACCTTCCTTGTCCATTCGGTAGGGAGTTCGACCCACGACCTATGGTAACCCCAGCACACTTTGAAGAACCGAGTATTTGAACAGACGAGGCTACTTCGGTGATTCGCCACCAAGCAGCGTGATCAGTAAACAACCAAATGTCGCAGCCGAATTCACGAAAGAGGCGGTGGTTGTCAATGGTTCAGGTCCCGGCGAATACTGCACGCGTTATTTACTGGCCGGATGCCGACAGTGTTACAGCCTTCCAAATCAGTCCTCCCACGAGCCCCTCTGTAGATATGGCAGACGAAAACGGGGGACAAATTGATTCCTGGTAGGCGTTACCCAGCCGGCGCAGAGTTCGAGTAACCCACAGCAAATGCTCCGCATGGAATTTGTAGTAATAAAACTGCCGGGCCAGCGGAGTTGATAGGCATTTACTTATTCGCTCAACGCTTTCCGGCTGAGCAGCGGTAGAAGAGACTCGTCCCATAAATGCATCAACCAACCTCCCTTCCCGACAAACCAGTCCTAGTATCTTGCGACTCACATCGGATAAAGTGGCCGTAATTTTGACCTTCAAGGAGCAGCCGTCTTAGGCCGGGACACCTCAAGGACAGAATGCCTCACACTTGAGGCCTGGTACTCAGATGCCAACTCCATCAACAGGCATCTAGACCTTCTTGCGGCCTATAAAGTCCTGCTTCACTACATAGTCCGTGACGAGGACAAGACGGTCACACGGAGCTTAAGAATATCAAGCAAACACGGAGCGCCAACCAATTTATCCAAAGGGGGAGGCAAACACAAATAACCCAAATTTAGGTGATGACCCGCAACACAGGAGGTCACCAACACTCACAAACGATGGCCAGTAGGCCAAGGCAGCGAATGGAAGAAAAAAATCGATCAGCCCAAGGCCCAAAAATTCGGCTGTCTGTGCAAAATTCTGATCGATTTTTGCACTAGACGCTTTGATAATGGAGAGCCGCCCAAGCTCTTCGAAAAGTCAGCCAAACAATTCCCTTGATCCGGTGAGCACTTCCCTTTCTTCAGATTATCGATCCGGATCTCTTCGTTTGCTAATCTGAATCCTAGAAGCGACAAGGAAACCACACAAGGTTCTCCACAAATCGCCATTAAATGTTTCTTTCGGCTTATCGTCAGCGACAAGTACGATGTTGTCAATTCTTGGCTGAATCATTTCCTGGAGCAAAGGCAAGTCTCCCAATCGATCGTAAGTGACGGCTGGAACACCAGGTCGACCATCAAACCGACACCAGTAAGGCGTGATTTGGTTGGCACACCTCGCGAAAGCAGACATGGTCTATGTCGTATCACGTCAACTTTTCACGTGGGTGTAGAAAGAGTTTCAATCCCAGCACACACATCAGTAGGATTCACTTAACAGCCAAAGCGTTTTGGAACTATGACATCGCGAACTTTGAAATGCTAGTTTCACAGAGTCGATCAAAACGAACGTTGAACCCATTTGGCCTAAATGAATATGCGAACTCACCGGTCAAAGGGCCACATGCGCACTCAAAAGATCCCCAACAAAAAGTCCGCGTGTCAAGGTGCTTTTAAAAAGGCTTGGTTGTGCTTCTTGAGTGTCAGTCCTTTAGGTTCACTCAAGGAGCAGTTTTTACCGGAAGACGAGTATTCGAGTTGTGGGCATTTCAAGACATGAACCAGAAGAATAACCTACAATGAGTGACCGATCTCATGGAATGTTGGCTGAAATTCTGAAATATGTTTTAGATTAGGAGGGGTTACTTGGTCGCGATTGTAATACTGATTATCATACCGCATAATCTTATAACATTTCAGACTCGGCAGGATATCAGCTCTTGCATATACTGCTTTTCAATCTCCTGTAGAAATCGGTCTCGGCAAAAAATAACTACTTAAGTAGCATGTACTTTCCCATTGGGTTTCGATAGTCTTGCAAATTAAATTATATCTAGTAGAAACCATAAACAAAAGTAAAATTTTTTCAGCCAATTGATAGAGAATAATGTTTTCTTTGTATTTTATACTCAAGAAAGGAGTAAAAATAGGTTTTAAAAAAGTTTTCTAATTGCCGAATAATTTGGAGCCTGATCGTTCGTTGCATTAGCTCTTAATGATTTCAGTCTACAAGGTGCATGCGTTCCGCCTAAAGAAAACCACATACTTTGCTATGGCATTAAAAAATGACATACAGATTCCATAAAATTTTGCAATGTATGTGGAATGTTGTCCATTTTTTGAGGAGCAGTGGTAAACGAACCGGTACGATGCTATGTGAATGGACATTTCGCGGTTTTAAAAATTTCCATAATTAGAAACTTTTTAAAAATCTAATTATACCCCTTTCTTGAGTATAAAATATAAAGAAGACGTTGTTCTCTATTGATTGATTGAAAAAAAGCATATTGCTGTTTATGATTTCTAAAAGATATATTTGAATTTGCCAGACTATCGAAAATCAATGAGAAAAATGCCCACATTTCAGTCAACATTTCATGAGATCGGTAACTTCAGAATTACAAATTTATCTGGATGATATTTTGGGTT